TTACATACATATGTCCATACATATCGGCTTACTTTATTAAGCACGATAGAAAATAAAATTCCATAATAAAAAATTGCTAATCAGTGATGCCAATTTGTCCTTTTTCCGGACAGATCTGTCCTGTTTTTAACGCTTCATCCGGAAAAAATTGAAAATCATCCGCATACCTGAAATCTGTCCTTTTTTTAGATTTTTCATCCGGAAATCTTTCCTTTTTTTGTAAATCTAATATTAATTCTTTTTTTTCTAAAATAGTTGCTTTCGCGCTCCAATTTTAATGTATTATTAGCTGTAAAATATGAAACAGGTGGCAGCTGCCATACTTAGATCGATAGTTTGGTAAAAAAAAATCATCGAAAAACAAGAAAGGAAGCTAACTTCGGCACGCCGAAGTTTGTATACCCTTGCAGATTGCTTTTCATATTTATGTCATAAATTATAATGCCGAAAACAGACACTAAACTGAGTTACATACCATTTTACCTATACTTATTATGTTTACAGTTTGACAGTTACAGTTATACATTCCCAGCTTTACATTTTCTCTACATCTGCGGATCGCTTCTATGGCTGCTATATGACATAGTTGTCCGACTTTCATAAAATGTATACCAAAATTCTATAATAATAAGTAAAGCTCATATCTCAGAGTAGATGAAAATACGTTAAAAAACAACGAAGTTATAACTTTTTCTATTACTTTCCCTATCGTTCCTATGGCAGCTATAAGATATAGTCGTCCGATTTTCATAAAATTTTTACCAAAATTTTGAAATAATACCAGAAGCTCATGTGTCAAAGTAGATTAAAATACGTTGAAAAACAACGAAGTTATAATTTTTTTGATTGATTTCCCGATCGTTCCTATGGCAGCTATAAGATATAGTGGTCCGATTTTCATAAAATTTTTACCAAAATTCTGGAATAATATAAAAAGGCTATATCTCAAAAATGATGGAATAATATTGAAAAACAGCCAAGTTAAAATTTTTTTTCTAAAAATTTATCGAACATTTGTATGGCAGCTATATGATATAGTCGTCCGATCCGGCCCGTTCCGACATATATAGCAGCGAGAGTATATAGAAGACTATATGCAAAGTTTCATTCAGATAGCTTTAAAACTGAGGGACTAGTTTGCGTAGAAACGGACAGACGGACGGACAGACGGACAGACGGACATGGCTAGATCGACTCGGCTGTTGATGCTGATCAAGAAAGTATATTCTTTATAGGGTCGGAAACGTCTCCTTCACTGCGTTGCAAACTTCTGACTGAAATTATAATACCCTGCAAGGGTATAACAACTCTATTTACGGTTTACTTGAAAATACTTCAACATTTTGGTCAGAAGTGAAGCGGTATCGGGATTCTGCAGGCAACCCCTATGAGGACGTGGTGAATTTTGCTCTCAGCCTGCTTTCATTGCCATGGTCAAATGCTGAAGTAGAGAGAGATTTTAGCCAAGTAAACTTGGTGAAAACCAAAATTAGGAACCGATTAGAGGTGGATACATTAAATGCCATTTTGGCAATCAGGTAAATATATATATATTTTCAAAAATTTACCACATATAAATTCATGTACATGTATTCTTTCTTCAGATTCGGATTGCGTCACCATAAGTTATGCTGTCATAATTATAACTTGCCTGAGAAGTACCTCCAATTAATTGGCTCCATGGCTACATATGAGGACAGCAATGATGATGACGGGAAAATAATAGAAGATGCCTTAAAACTATTATCTTAATAATAAAAAATAATAATAGTGAAAACAAACTTTTTGTCCTTTTTTTCTATCCTTTTTTAAATATTTTCATCCTTTTTTTCCTGTTTTTTTTCTCAATCTGTCCTTTTTTTTCGAAAACATTTTGGCATCACTGTTGCTAATAGTCAAAATACAGTCCGCTATCATCCATATATATACATACATATTATTATATTATAAATACAGATTATATTTTCTCCATATAATATATATATATTACACATTATATTTTCATCCTCATACACATATGTACATACATTCCACATACATTTACATACAACATTTTTAAAAAAGAAAAAAAAAAACAACCAAGAAAATAAAACATAATAAATAAAGAATAAAATATTAAAACAAATTTTGTAAGCCAGTGTCCGTCTTTTTTCTGCATTTTATTGGCGCGCCTTACATACATAGTTCCGCTGCCGTCGCAACATCTGCATACTTACATACATACATAACTAAGAGCTTTACATTCTTTACAACGAACATTGAATTGAGAAAAAAAGGTGTCAGGTGTTCCGATCCCACCATTCCGATCGAATTATTTTTTCCTTATAATTAATATTTTTATTAATTAATAATTAATCAATTAATTGCTCATTTAATAATTTTTAAAGTTTTGCACGCGATAAATATCCGCAATTGTCAAGGGTACTCCATATATATTTTCTTTGCATTTATTGGGTTATTATTAAATACGAAAATAATAAACAACTCGGCAGTTCCATTCCGCAATTATTTATAAATATAAATAAATTTCCATTCTCGTCGCATTTGCTCCAATTAATATTGGCTCCACTACAAATAAATTTCGATTCTCGTCGCATTTGCTCCAATTAATATTGGCTCCATTACAAATAAATTTCCATTCTCGTCGCATTTGCTCCAATTAATATTGGCTCCATTACACATAAATTTTCCATTCTCGTCGCATTTGCTCCAATTGATATTGGCTCCTCTACACATATTTTCGATTATCGTCGCTTCTACGTCAAGTAAATTTTTTCCAGTTTATTTACTTGCAATTCTGAGATTGGTTAATTCCACCATCCAACATCTACCATCCGGCATATTCCTGCCATCCATATTCGCTTCGTTTTGACCGTCTCACATTTCTACTCCGGCGATTTAGTATTGGGAGCAAATAATTCTACGATTTGAATTTTATTGGTTAATTCTGAGATTGATTAATTCTACCATCTACCATCTACCATCCTAGTTCTGCGGCATATTCTTGCCATCCATATTCGCTTCGTTTTTACCGTCTCGAGCCAGAAGAAGGAGGCAGCGCAGTTAGCGCCTTCAATAGATGGAAGTCAAATGCGGGAACCGAGTCCGAGAAACACGGGCGCGGGACCGTCAAGTAATTTGAGATCCAAATCCAAGGGCACTTTAGACGGTATTTTGCTTGAGTTCATAGCAACCAGCGACCGTCTTGTCAAATTTGAAAGCCAGATATTTACGGCATCCTCTTCCGAGCCTAGTTTGTTTACCTTAAAGATCCGTCTGGATCAGACACAAGCCTTATGGGAAAAGGTTGAACGGGAGTATGAAACCGCTTCCAAAGCAGCTCTTCGCGAAGGAGGTAGCGGAAATCTTCCGTTACTGCAAAACAAATATGAGCACTGCTATGCGGTGTTCGAAAGATGTGCTTCGAAGCTAAATGAAGACATCGCCCGTATGTCCGTCCCCACTTCACCGCCAAGAACAGCTCCGCCGATAGAGACATTCTCCAGGGGTTGCAGTCTTCCGCCATGCGATACCGAGATCTTTGACGGAGATTATCTGCGCTGGCCCACCTTTCGTGACCTGTTTACGGCCATTTATGTAAACAATTCCAGGTTGACTTCAGTGGAAAAGCTTTTACACTTAAACGCCAAAACTAGCGGCGAAGCTCACGCCATTGTGGCCAAGTCTCCGCTGACTAATGATGGGTTCCAATCCGCGTGGTCAGCGCTTCAGGATCGCTTTGAAAATAAGCGATTGTTGGTAAACAGCCAACTAAAAATCCTGTTTAGTCTTCCGACCCTAGGCAGTGAATCAGGCACGGCCTTGAAAGATCTGCAGAGCACAATCCAAGGGTGCTTGATAGCCCTCGAGCATTCCCAAATTTCCACGGAAAATTGGGACTGCCTTCTAATTTTTCTAATCTCCTCCAAGTTGCCGAAGGTCACTCTCTCGTTATGGGAGCAGTCCTTGACCAATAAGTCCGCGATCCCAGCCTGGGAAGAAATGAATTCCTTTCTCGAGGAGAGATATCGGACGTTAGAAGCAATTGAGGATGTCCGACCCAATTCTTCCAGCACACAGCATTCAAGGGAGCCCAGAAGTGCACAACCAAGGAGGGTAAATACCTTCGAGACACAAGTCGGGCCACGCGCACGATTTTGCGATCTCTGCTCCAGAGAGCCTCATCCAGTTCGGCTTTGTCCGCGGTTTTTGCAGATGACTCAACCACAAAGAGCATCATACCTTAAACAAAAGAGACTGTGCCTTAATTGCTTTGCAAGGGGATATAATCTTCGTGAATGCCCGAGCAGTTGCTTCACATGCAGGGGACGGCATAATACGCTCTTGCACAAAGATACTCCGTCTAACGCTGTTAGCACAGCGCCGGCTCACCCTCCAGAGCAGCCAATCTCAAACACGTCAGTTCATTTCGCCTCCAACCAACAAGGAGTACTTCTAGGTACGGCCATAGTTCATGTGTGCCACCGAGGAGAGAATTTTCCAGCACGTGCCCTGATAGATTCAGGCTCCGAAGGCACTTTCATTTCTGAGAGGCTTGCCAACCGGATTAAACTTCCATTTCAAGCCGTAACAACAAGAGTCACAGGGCTCAACCAAGCCAATTCCGGTGTCTCACAAAAAATGTGTCATTTCCAGATGGGCACTCCGGCCAAACCTATGCTCAAGATCGACACGACGGCGTTTGTGCTGCCGAACCTGGCCGGCAATCTTCCGACAAGCACAATTGACCGAAACATTCTTGATAGGCTGCCAAATATGCCATTGGCAGATCCGTCGTTTTTCCAGCCGTCTCAAATAGACCTTCTTCTAGGTGCGGATATTCTTCCGTCTGTCCTGCTATCGGGCTGGAGGCCAAACGTATGTGGGTCCTTATTAGCGCAAGAGACCATTTCGGGTGGATTTTGACCGGCCCATTGTCTTCAACCACTAGTAGGGTTTCGTCTTTCACCACACAAATATCCATAGAGTCCGAAGCAACCATGGAAACACTTCTCACAAAATTTTGGGAGGTGGAGGATCTTCCATGTAGACTGGTAAAGGAGACGGACAAGTTGTGTGAAGACTTTTTCGTCCGAACAACTACCAGATCCTGCGACGGGAAATATATAGTATCCCTGCCCTTCAAAGATTCAGAGCACATTGACTTGGGGCATTCCAGGAGTTCCGCACTCGCACAGTTTCTGAGGAATGAGACTCGCTTGAAGAAGGAGCCCGCTCTCAAAGACACTTATGACTCAGTGATCCAAGAATATATCGATCTTGGACATATGAAGCCGGTGCCTCCGAATACCGACAAGATAAATTTCTATCTCCCCCATCATGCAGTATTTAAGCCCGAAAGTGCGACCACGAAAGTTCGCGTAGTTTTCAACGCATCCAGTCCTTCTTCCAATGGGAACAGCCTTAATGACATTCTGTATCCAGGGCCAGTACTGCAGTCCGATCTCACTCTTCAAATCCTGAAGTGGCGGACGTTTAAATTCGTTTTCAATGCCGACATCACCAAGATGTATCGGCAAATTCTCCTAAACCAAGAGCACACTCCGTTTCAGAGAATTCTCTTTCGAAATGGCCAAGGGGATATATCCGACTTCGAGCTTCAGACGGTCACGTTTGGAGTGAATTGTGCCCCTTTCCTGGCCCTACGACGATGTGCTAGCAGGAGCCCATACAGAGGCTGAAGCTATTTTAGCCATTCGGGAGCTGCAAGCAGCTCTGGACTCAGCTGGATTCCCTCTCCGCAAGTGGACATCGAATGAACGTGCACTCCTTAAAGCACTTCCTAAAGAGCATCTACTTTCGACTGATTTTCTTGATCTCGAAGAGGTCAGCACCACTAAGACATTGGGAGTACGGTGGAACGCTACGACGGATGAGTTCTATTTTGTCCCAACAGAGGTCACCATTCAGGCAAACTATTCGAAACGCGACGTCTTATCCCAAATCGCGAAGTTGTTCGACCCAGCTGGGTGGCTCTCCCCATTTGTGGTTCAGGCCAAAATCCTGATGCAGGATATCTGGTTAGCCAGCGTCGAATGGGATGAGTTTCTTCCTGCAGAACTACTACATCGCTGGCATGATTTCCTTCGGAGCTACAGTTTCCTCCACCAAGTTCGCATCCCGCGTTGGGTACATTTTCAACCAGGTGTACAAGTCCAAATCCATGGTTTCTGCGATGCCTCCCAAAAGGCTTATGGCGCAGCGATTTACGTTCGCATCCAGCGTGATGGAATCATTTCAGCAAATCTTCTAACGTCAAAGACCAAAGTCGCTCCGGTAAAAACCGTCTCGCTCCCGCGTCTAGAACTGTGTGGAGCCGTCCTTCTGGCAGACTTGTGGACTGCAATTCTGCCTCAGATTCCTTTCGGTCGTATAGAATCTTTTCTATGGACTGTTTCCACTATTGTGCTGGCATGGTTGAACAAGCCACCATGTCAGTGGACGACCTTCGTCGCAAATAGAGTCACAAAAATCGCTCAAAACACTGATGCCAGCCAGTGGTCTCACGTGCGTTCCGAGCACAACCCAGCAGATCTAGCCAGTCGTGGAGTAGCGGCTGAAGAGTTAGCTACCAGTGAGCTATGGTGGCATGGGCCTTCATGGCTAACTCAGCCACAAGACTCCTGGCCTGCACCTTATGAATCAGTTTCCGACATCGACATCGAGAAGCGACCCATACGTTGCCATTTAGCATGCCCGGAGCAGGACATGCTCGAGCGGTTCTCCAAGCTCGACAAGGCACTACGAGTTTTCGCCTATGTTCAGCGCTTCATCCAGCGCTCGCAAAAACGACCTATTCCAGGCGAGCTGCAGCTATCCAATACAGAGATTTCCACAGCTGAGCGACTCCTAATTTTCATAACACAGCGCAGATACTTTGCGCTTGAATATGCCTGCCTGAGCCAAAAGCGGCCAATTCCAGCATCCAGTTCTATTAAGAACATGAATCCCTTCCTTGATCCTCACGGCCTCATCAGGGCGTGTGGTCGGGTAACGGCCTCCGAAGTCCTCCAATATGATGAACGACATCCGATCTTTCTTCCATACAACTGTCAGTTGGCGCGTCTCCTTGTATCCTTTACGCATCGCATCTCCTTGCACGGCGGTAATCAGCTAATGGTACGCCTGATCCGCTCAAAATTCTGGATACCAAGGGTCAAGAACTTAGTCAAGTCTGTAATTTTCTCCTGCAAAATATGTGTGATCCACAAAAAGAAGTTGCAGACCCAACTCATGGGCGAATTACCAAAAGAAAGAACGTCCTTTTCGCGGCCTTTTACGTACACGGGCATGGATTATGCCGGACCGTTTGATATAAAGAACTACACCGGGAGAGCCTGCCTGATTACCAAGGGCTATGTGCTGGTGTTTGTATGTTTCTCCACGAAGGCCATCCATTTAGAGCCTACTTCGGACCTCACAACAGAGAAATTTCTCGCAGCATTCGCCCGATTCGTTTCGCGGAGAGGGTGCCCTCGACAAGTTCAGTCGGACAATGGGAAGACCTTTGTTGGTGCAGCCGCAGTGCTGTCGCGTGAATTTCTGCAAGCTGTCAAGGAGTCCGTGACGAATGCTTATAGTCACCAGAAACTCCTGTGGCAATTCATACCACCAGGAGCCCCGCACATGGGAGGATTATGGGAAGCTGGAGTTAAAAGCTTCAAGACGCTGTTTTATAAATCCACAGCCACTCGAAAGTATACGTTCGAAAACTTTCTACATTGCTGGCCAAGATTGAGGCCTGTCTTAATTCGCGTCCACTCGCCTCGATGTCCGAAGACCCCACAGACTTGTTGGCACTCACGCCAGGTCATTTTCTCGTAGGTGGACCCCTTCTCGCCACCGTCGAACCCGAAATTAAGGGTGCGTCCACTTCTATTATCAACCGGTGGCAGCACCTTAAGGCCCTTCATCAGCAATTCCGCCTGAGATGGAAGGAAGAGTACCTCAAGGAGCTCCACAAGCGAACAAAGTGGCAAGTCCCCACAAGAAATCTCGAGGTGGGCGAGATGGTTATAATCAAGGACGATAATCTGCCCTCCACTGAGTGGCGGCTCGGCAGGATTGACTCCGTGTTTCCCGGACCCGATGGTCATGTCCGAGTAGTGAATATTCGTACTGCTCGGGGAATCGTTAAGCGCCCTGTCGCAAAAGTCGTATTGCTTCCGGGGGCGACCTCCGAAAAATCTCAATAACTAGCCGTATCCTCACTCCGTAGTTTGCTTCTTTCGCTAGTTTTAAGTCATATTTTCGACTCCATACTAATTCTTTTTTTTGTATCCTACTCCAGATTATAAACAATGTTCCCACGTCTACGTAGCGCCGTCGAAATGGAGAGCAGTCGTACACGAGGTATAAATTCCTACCGTTGCCGAGTTTGCCACGGAGTCCACCCTCTACGGAAGTGCCGCAGATTCTTGCGGCTGAGCATCGAAAAGAGGCTCCGCGCGGTCCTCGCGAATCGCTATTGCGCCAACTGCTTGGCTCACGAGCATTCGGATGGAGCGTGCCGCCGTGGCGATCGGTGTAAGATCTGCAGCGGAGAGCACCACACACTGCTGCATATGCAGGAGCAGCCGCTGTATTTACGCCGTTCGCGTCAGTTGACGCCGCCCTCTCGTCGCGCTCGAGCTTTTCACCACCACGTTTCGGCCTCTCTTCACCACGCGGCGGCCTCTCCTCGGCGCTCTGCGGCCTCTCCTCAACGCTCTTCGGCGGCCTCTCCTCGGCGCTCTTCGGCCTCGCCTCGGCGCTCTGCGGCCTCTCTTCAGCTTTCGTCGGCCTCTCCACGAACCGCGGCATTCGCCCCGCAGGGAGTTCCGACAGGGCCTTCACTGGCCACGTTGCTTCAGCGATACCGCGTGAACCTCCTCCCGACCGCGCTGGTGCGGATTGACACCGGGATGCGAGTGTTCGACACAGCGGCACTTATCGACCCATGCACGCCTATTGGCGCGTCGCTGGCGACTTCTTTGCGACTTTCAACGACAGCGGTGGGTGCTGAACAGATCTGCTCAGCCACCGTCGGCTCGAAAACGAACGCCCATGTCCGGCTCGACCTCGTTTTCAAAGTGGAGCCTCACGTGCGCGTCCGCACTCCGATCCGACAGTTGGATGAGACTGTGCGGGCCTATTTCAAGGACATCACCTTGGCTGATGAACGATTCTACCTTCCGGCTACGATCTCCGTCATCCTGGGTGCGGATGTGTACCCCAAAGTTATGCAGCCTGGGTTCCTGAAAGTGCAGGATGGATTGCCGGTGGCCCAAAGCACCGTATTTGGATGGGTCCTGTCCGGGGCCTGTCACACGCCGATGTGAGGAGCAGACTTTATTGCAACCCATAGTGATTGCAAGGGGGGCGGAATGTTCAGGTCAGGAGCTTTCGTTTCCCCCCCGCGCGACTCCGAAGCGCTCCTGCTTCCTCAAAACTCCTCAGCGCGCTCTCACTCCTTAGCGCGCTCTCGCTCTCAGCTTGCGCTCTTGCGCAGCTTGCTCTCTCGCTCTTCCAGCGGAGGCTTTTGACTCTGGGCGATCGGCGGCTCTCTCACTCCAACTTGTACAATTAATTCCTATATTGAACTCCAATAAAGCGGACCAAGTCCACGATTTATATTCTGAAAATAACCACGCCCCCCCGGCCTACTACTATTTTTCTTCGTTCGGTGGTGACTTTTCGCTATTTCTACGGTGTTTTCGGTGACTGCGGCGCGGGAGTGATTTATTTAATAATTCGTGTGCTGATCTGGAAACTGAAGGAAGACTTTCCCCCCCTCGAGCCGAACAGTAGTATAGTATTAGTATTAGTATTAAGTAAGAAAAAACCTGAAGTAAAATGTTTATTTATAAAGTTAAATAATAATAAATAATGATCAACATAAATAAATGCATGTTTCATTTACATTTAAATAAAACCGAAATACTAAAAATATTGTAGATGTCAAAATGTATCTTAAACGTATCGTCAAAAGACCGCAAACGGTACTTTTTTGGGTATCGCCTCCGGTCCGCAAACGGTACTTTTGGGTGTTCGTAAAATATTCCGTTTGTAATATTTTTAACGAAGCTTTTGTCTGCCCGGAAAACTAAGGGCCGTCAGAATAAACCTTTGTCTGCTGTGACGCCTCCTTTCGCCCAGGTCGACTTCCACCAAAGTGTCACCCCAAATACTACGATAATTCCATGTCCTAAAGATTCGATTTGTGTACAACAGAGAATCATCCAGTCTGTTTCTGTCCACGTTTTCTTCAAGTGACGATACATCGTTTTTCTTACATAAAAAAAAATAAATTGTGAGCAAATTGCTTTGCCAGAGGTTACCAAATCCGGGATTGCACCACCTCCCTCAGCTTTTCCACGTGCCAGAATCTACATCACACGTTGTTGCATCCAAGAAATGTTCACGCCAAAGGGCGCTTATTTACAAGAGGGTGTATGGTAGTCCAGCCTCTAGAGATCTAGTAACGATTTACTTACGACCAAATAAGGAGTTCCGACGCACATCGTGCAAAACCCCGAAAGTACCCACGTTTTATTTATCAAGTGCATTTCAGCTTCAAGCCGCCCCCCTCCATTTCACATACAAACCTTCATCTTAAATTGTGTTTGTTTGTTTTATATTTGATCCGTAAAAATAATAACAACACTACATAAAAATTATTGACTTTCCATTTCATTTGTGTAATTAAAACTTCCAATTAAAAAAAAAAATACTTTTTAAGCGTGCAATAATGTCAAAGTATCAAAATAAATAAGAATTCAATAAAATTCCAAAACTCGGCACCAAATTCAACCGTATAATTATCAGGTATTTATGTATATTAAACAACTAAGCGATGCACATGGTTCGAGTTAGTTGAGTGTGCATTAATAACGGCTGCGGTGGGACTGCCAGTTTCTGCCGATTTTTCTTCCCTTGATGAAACCAATATTACACTTCTAGAGGGTCCTTTTTTACCCTGTAAATGGACAATATTTTATTTTTAGTTTTATACATATAGATAAAGCATACCATCTTAGTAGTCTTACACCTTGATTCCATAATTAAATTCTTCGGTACTTGGAAAAGCCGTTCGCCAAGTAAAATCATTACGTTAGTTAATCGACAACAGTCTGCGGCCATCTTAACTTGCTCTTCTATGTTTTTTTTGTCGATCGGGTGTATATACCGGGGTGGAAAAAAGGATGGGGCAATTATAGTAGAAACATTATGTAGATTCATTTTGTTAAAGTCTTTTAAATCAATTATGTTGTTTAAAAATTGCAGCAGCGAGCGAAATGTGTTTCGGTTTTCGTGTGGTAGCAGCTGGCATAGAATCGATAATGCGCATCTTTGATCCATTTTTGAAAGTTTGTGGCATTGATAAAATAGTTTTATAAGTTCATTGGTAAGCAAAGGTTGGGGAAGTTCGCGCAACCAACGTTTAAGCAATGCGCTCAACTCATGGATTGTAGCGGCACTAAATAGATGAGATATTTTGTCAGTTTTTTGATAAAATATTGTTTCAAATTCATTGTACAGGGATTCAGTCTGAAAATAAATTATATCTGTAGTACATAAACAAGTATTATCAACTTTCATAAGATTTATATATGTGTACATTCTGAGAAAAACCGAAACGGAAACATAAAAATCAAAGGCGCGACTTTAGCCAAAAACAATATAAAGATCTTGTCAATAGACAAGTTGCAGCTGTGGTTACGATCGTTTCTTTTTGTAGTGTTTACCTAAAGTCGCACCTTTGGTTTTTATAACAAATTATTATTATTATTAAATTTATCATATATATATATAATTTTTTTTTTTTTTTTACTTTTTTAGATTATTATTATTAATTATATTATAATTAAAGACAGCAAAAAGGCAATAAAGGAGACACATTCAGGAAGAGCACCTTGATGACAAGGTTACCGGACAAGAACGCGACGTCGATGACAAATCCAAGTCCGAACCGTGCGGACAGGGACAACACAGAAGCTGAATATGGAACAACCCCCCAACCGATGAAACAGATTCCTCTGCATACACAGACTACGATGTCAAGGAGGAGTTGATATACAAGATGCAGGCATTAGAAGAAAAAGCTTTGGTAGAGTTCAAAGCTATCTTAAGGAATATAAAGATCGCAATGCAAAGTAATGCAAAAGCATGGACGTCAAGGATGGCACCTCTGAACTGAGTGAGCTCTTCGATGTCATGGAAAACTACCGATCGAGCTGGAAAGCCCTAGAACTGGAGCGCTTAAAGGCATCGAGGAAAGCAAACGAGCGAAACCCTGTTTCGACACTAAAGAAGAGGACAGCCACTAGCCCGCCAGCTCAGGAGCTGAGCAAGAGCTTGAGAAAGAAACAGGAAAATTATGGATTTCAAACGGTTCATATAAGAAGGGGAAAAAGAAAGCAAAACTAAAGACGGACATGTAAGGAACAATGGAGCTGAGAGAAAAAAAAAAAACCTAGCACAAGAATGCGTTCTCGTCCAGAAGCCGTCCTAGTCAGACCGGCAGGGGATAAGAGCTATGCTGAGGTGTTGTGCAACCTGTGGAAGAATCTTAAGCCAAAGGAATCAGGTAGCAATATAGTGTCGGTCAGAAAAACGAGGGCAGGCAACATGCTCCTGGAACTTGCAAAAGGAAGCCAAATGGATCAATTATACGAAAATATCAAAAACACCCTTAAAAATGTGGATCGGTTAAGACCATTAGTCAAATTGTCAAACTGGAAATCAGAGACATCGACAGCATTACACAAGAAGACGAAATACCCTCATCAATCAGAAAAGGTATAGGCGATATAAGTTAGGAAATACCAATCCATCTGACGGGAGTAAATAGCTCAGAACAAAGACGAGCCTTTGTTACGCTACCAACGAAAGACGCGGCGAAGATATTCACGGAATAACGAATAAAAATAAGGTGGAGCCGGTGCCGGGTGAAGCGTTGTCTCTATATAAAGAGTTGCGTCAAGTGTTTCGGGGCTGGACATTTGCAAAAGGACTGCAAAGGACCGGATAGGAGAGACCTCTGCATCAGATGTGGTGAAAGAAATCATAAAATAAAGACCTGCACTAAAGCTCCAAGATGCTGTATCTGCACATCAGAAAACAGGAGCGACGTTGGACCATCCGGATCCCGTTACGGCTCCACACAGAAGTGACAAAAAAGGAATATTCCACGTCATTACACAAATTAGAAACTGGACGATATTCAGCTGCTATTTAACCCCATGTGACGACATTCAGACTTTCCAGACGAAACTTGAAGATATTGAAGACAACGCAAGGCAAATAAGGGGACACCTTGTAATAGCAAGAGACTTTAACTCAAGAGCTCATGAATAGGGTATGGCATTAACTGACTCTCGAGGCCGTAGAGTTCTACATATGACCGCAAGAATTGGGATGCTAACAGCAATTGTAGGTGCAATACCGACATTCAAACGAGTAGGAAACGCGGGCACAATACCCGACAAAAAAATGCGCGCACAAAATCGCAGACTGGAAAGTGCTCTCGATACCTACAATGGAAGTGACCATAGTTATATATCGTTTAACATAGCAGAAAACGAAGTGACTACTATAGCATCTCAAAGCTCTCAGAGAAGCGTGTATAAAAAACAGACCCCGCCTTTCGATGGCCAGACAGAGTGGGATTTTTACAGAACCAGAGAGCCAATTTAAGAAATCCAAGAAGGACTTAAATACTGTCATTCGAAAAAGCAAAACGGAGAAATGTAAACGCCTCTGAAACGATGTCAACAGTGACCCATGGGGGCTGGGGTATAAAATCGTGATGAAGAAGCTGAGAAAAAAAAACCCAACACCGGAACTATAGGAAGAGCATGGACCGTAATGGACACTATTTCCCGCCCATACAAATAGCATAGCGAGAACTACTCCACCAATAGCAGAATATTAGATCGAGCTCTTTACAGCGATCGCGGAGAACAGACCCCAAATCCTATTAGATATGTATAACGCGTGCATTACCAGCAACCGTTTGTTCCGATAAGCAAGGGCAAGGAAGACTTCCTAACCCCGTCAGCTTATCGACCACTATGCATGCTTAACACAGCCGGGAAGCTACTAGAGAAAATTGTCAAGCAACGACTAGCAGCAGCGATCGAAAGAGAAGGGGGTCTCTCCCCGAGACAGTATGGCTTTAGACCAGGAAGATCGACCATTAGAACAATCCAAGAAGTCGTTAAAAAAGCGCTCAGCAGCAAAACTAACATTCACACATACAAGAGACAAAGAAGCGAGCGACCGAGTCTACAAAGGCGCTTAGGAGACACATGGCGGGTGTGAGATCTGGGCAGGAATCCTTGAGACAGCCTGCAGGTCAAAACCTTTACAGGAGGTGCAAAGAACCATGGCTCTATGAATCGCGAGCACGTATCGAACGGCTTCCGGCCCTGCTGCACTAGTAGTTGCAGGCACGATACAAATAGACCTTCTAGGCAAAGCGCGAAAACGGATATATGAAAGACGACAAGAAGGACCAGAAAAGAAACCCACCGACAATCGCAGGAAAGATGGACAGCAGAGGGAAGAGGCATAATATTAGACCAATTATTACAATGATTGTTTAAAATTAACATGATACATATTTAATCGCTTCTTTTTTGGATGTTGACAACCCTTAAATGGTCTTTCAAATACGACGTAGCGGTGGCGGATTAGCAATATTGTTGAAGGTTAGAATCGAACCGATTTTAAGGTGCACCCACAAAATAATTATTTATGAATCAAGTATGTTAGTATTAGCTAAATCAATTATGCAATAATGTTGAAGAGAGCTGCCTACGTGCAGCAAGATCACTGTCATTCCAGCGAACAAATAGTAAAGACGTGTGTGTAAAAGAACTAAAGAATAAAGAAATAATTAATAAAACATCCTGTCACATATGGGAATCCCATTGCTCTGTGTAATCAGAAAGAGACACAGCTCGTAACCAGCTGGATAAGAAACAGGTGCACCCGAAAGGAGGCAGGCCTAGAATCATTTGGACCAGCAAGTCAGGGCGACCAAAGAAGAAAGGAGGGTTGATAACATATAATTAAAGCGGAAATTCCTAACCCGCAAAGCTGTGTAAAAGCGCTACATAGCCAGCAAGCTACTTCTTGGAAGAAACACTTGAAGACGGAGTATAACGCGCTCGTGACAAATAATACATGTATGCTTTGCGAATTGGCAAAAAGAGAATAGCATACCGATGGCAATAAGATGCCGAAGTTGTTTTTTTTTCTTATTCATCTGCTTCCGAAGTGAACGGACGTGTTTTTTTTATACCCTTGCAGGGTATTATAATTTCAGTCAGAAGTTTGCAACGCAGTGAAGGAGACCTTTCCGACCCTATAAAGTATATATATTCCTGATCAGCATCAACAGCCGAGTCGATCTAGCCATGTCCGTCTGTCCGTCCGTCCGTCTGTCCGTCCATCCGTCCGTCTTTGCATATAGTCTTCTATTTATTCTTATTGCTATATATGTCGGAACGGGCCGGATCGGACGACTATATCATATAGCTGCCATACAAATGTTCGATAAATTTTTAGAAAAAAAATTAAAACTTGAAAATTTTTGTAACATATTTGGGATATGGCTGATTTATATTATTCTAGAATTTTGGTAAAAATTTTATGAAAATCGGACGACCAGGAAATTAATAGGAAAAAAATTTTAACTTCGGTGCTTTTCAACGTATTTTCATCTACTCTAAGATATGAGTTTTTATACCCTTGCAGGGTATTATAATTTCAGTCAGAAGTTTGCAACGCAGTGAAGGAGACGTTTCCGACCCTATAAAGTATATATATTCTTGATCAGCATCAATAGCCGAGTCGATCTAGCCATGTCCGTCTGTCCGTCCGTCTGTCCGTCCGTCTGTCCGTTTCTACGCAAACTAGTCCCTCAGTTTTAAAGCTATCTGAATGAAACTTTGCATATAGTCTTCTATATGCTCTCACTGCTATATATGTCGGAACGGCCCGGATCGGACGACTATATCATATAGCTGCCATACAAATGTTCGATAAATTTTTGGAAAAAAAATTATAACTTGGCTGTTTTTCAATATTATTCCATTATTTTTGAGATATAGCCATTTTATATTATTCAAGAATTTTGGTAAAAATTTTATGAAAATCGGACCACTATATCTTATAGCTGCCATAGAAACGATCGGGAAATTAATCGAAAAAATTATAACTTCGTTGTTTTTCAACGTATTTTAATCTACTTTGACACATGAGCTTTTGGTATTATTTCAAAATTTTGGTTTAAATTTTATGAAAATCGGACGACTATATCTTATAGCTGCAATAGGAACGATCGGAAAAGTAATAGAAAAATTTATAACTTCGTTGTTTTTCAACGTATTTTTATTTACTCTGAGATATAAGCTTTTTTTTATTATTCTAGAATTTTTGTATAAATTTCATAAAAATCGGACAACTATATCTTATAGCTGCCATAGAAGCGATCGGTAAATGTATAAAATATGTAAAGCTGGGAATGTAAAACTGTAACT